AGTTGTTGTAAATTTGCAGAGCTCTTCACTTTCAAACAGAAAATACTGGAAGATTAAGATGAGCGGGTATCGTTATTGTTTATTTCTATCGACTTTTAGTTTGGGCATAAATTGTTGCTAAGTAAACTATACTGTGATGGTTAATCTTATGCGTAGTAATATTTTATTGCGATGAAATTATCAAATTAATTCTCTCATTCAGTTGGGAATGATTGGATATATTTTTGAAGATGCAAGCATGGTGTCAGTTTTTATTACAAAGTTTGAATTCCTCACGCTAGCAGTCTAATTTCTCCATTTTTCACTCGATAACACTAACTGAAAGTAACTTATTGAAAAAAAATGAATGGAATACGTTTTTAAAAAAAAGAATAGTGTTTTCAGGGCCAAAAGCTACTGAAGATCCAACTGACCAGATCAGTTAGTCTTCACAACATGTTCATTCTTGAAGCAAAAACAATAGACTGTTGTAAACTTGGAGCTGGTTTACCATCGTCTCGATGAATTCCGCCTGATTTTCTGATGTCATTACTTAAATCAGCTCTCAAGTGAAATTCCTTTTCAGTATCCTTTTCTGTTTTTTTCACCTTTTTTTCATCTAACAGTCAGATATTTAAAAATGTCATGTCTTCTTTACAGACTTTTGTAACTTTGTCTACCTCTTTGTTTCATTTATTTTTATCATCTCATTCTGCATCTAGAAAGGAATTTCTTTTGTTTCCATACATTTCCTTTTCCATGCAACTCAGTCCACTGGTATCTATTAGGTTCTTACTCAAAACGTTTCTGAATATTAGCATATCATTTCCGTAGTGTCTCGGTCTTGCAATCAATCCTTTCAGCTGAAAAGATTTTTGCATTACTAGGTGAATAGTTGCTTGTGTCTTTTGACCATTATTACAAGTCACTAGCTTCAGCACATAATATCATCATAATTAGAAATCCTCGTTGCTCAGATGTATGTGGAAAAGTAGTTTCTAATGCGTGTCATAGTAACAATGTTTATGGTCACTTATATTTTTATATTATTTCTTACTATCTATTATATACCGTTCCGAATGGAATTCAATGGTATTTTACTTTTGAAATGAACATATATGATGCATTGAGACCGATGATTTTCAACTTTTATGAAGTGCATATTCATTAAGGAATATAACATCAGACTTCGATATTATCTCTTAGTCTTAATAAAGTTTCGAGAGAAGCAACCACAATAAGCTAAACATATGATTTCACTTATTTTTTTTAATTGTCCGCTTATCTCTATTTGGTTTATTTAGTTTTTACTTGTAGCTTCAAAAAGGTTGTATCACAGGTCACCCATTTCCCACCATTTATTCTTAATCTAGTTGAAACGTTTCAACACTTTTTCTTTCGAAAGGATGTCAATACTTTTATTGATTTTAAAATAGTTTTCTACTTTCATTTAGTTTCAAATACTACAAACACCACAACATATCTAATACACAATTTGTATTATTTGTAGGAAGATCAATCATTTCATTCTGGTTAGGCGAGTTTATAGCTTTGTGAACCAAATTCGAACGGATATACAGCTGATGAGTTTAGAATCGAACAAGTGAAACGATCATCCTGCATATCGATCACTCCGGTATGGCTAATGAACCCACATTTCATGGGAAGATTATGTTAGTTCATGACACTTGTGTGTCATACATCCTACTTTTTGATTTTGTCTGGGTGGTTTTCGATGGAAACTCCGTTGCAGTTAAACGATTAAAAGTATCCACTTGTAAGATATGCTAACTTAAATGGTACAACTGATTTTGGTAACTAGCAGAAGAACTGAGGACGCGCGTTTCTTCCGGTATTAAGTGCTACAACTTTAGAATAATCGGTAAATTAACCACTTATTATCGTTTATCATCAAATGGTCTGTTTGTCTGGTAAAAATAAACTGATTTACTCACTTGTTTCATGCAAAAGTTTTTCTTGTTCGAGATATGGATCTGAAAAAATTCTGAAATTTAGTTTTATTGACATAAGAATCAGTATTCAATCAGGACGAGTTGAAAAATTTGAAAATTGTGTAAGTGGTTCACAAGTGTATGCTAGTTTGATGATTTGTGGGTAAAATGAAGTAGATATTCACCATGAAACATGTAGGACAACTGTTTCAAAAGAATGGTTTACACACAAGAAGTCGCTTTGACTCAAAAATGTTTTCACTTTTTAAAGTTTGCTTAATTTAGGGATAATTCGACGTGTTAAGTCGACGAAGTATAACACCCCACGTTTTATTTTTTTATCTCATAAATATTTAAGTTTTGAGTTCTTGGTCAGTACTTTTCAGAGTAAAGCTCTGTCATTTTATCTTAAAGATTGATATGTTTTTAGAGATTGAGTATAAAAATTCGCCGGTTGGAAATTATTTCGCAACTTAATCTGCACATGTTTTCTGTCATTCAAAATAGAATAATTCTCTTCAAGTTTATAAGTTTTCCACATGAATTAATCACGAGGAAAGAAAAAGTTTGTTTTTGTATAACTCGTGGATGTTATAGAAGTAGCTGTTCGAACATTTTATCTAAGTATTTACCGAAAGAACTTCTGATGTGATAAAAACAATCACATCAGTTTATGAAGAACAAGTAAGTCTCTTTCTAAAACATTTCCTAGGTTAGTTGTAGGTGCTATAAATGAATCAATGCCCCTGGCGATTCTATATGGATATGACTGTCAAATAACAAACAAAATAATTACCGAGGATAAGGGAAGGTGAAATATAAGTCATAAAATGAAAGTAGCTTTTCTAAGGAAAACGATGTTCTTTACTTTTCTCTATTTAGAATTAATCTACACAATTCAAGTTAGGTAAGATCTTCCTTCTTGTACTTATTACTTTAAAAACAGATATTTTAACCCGAATGGTTTAACAGGTCAAATGCAACTTTTTCTTAACAGTTATTCATACTGAGATAAAGTAATCTAAGCGTGAAGCTAGAATTCGTCTAATATAATCAATTTTGTTGGTATAATTATCTTCAACATGTAACGAAAAAGACCATACTTCAAGGTTAAAAACTGATTGAGGTCTGTTAGCGCTATTCATTCCAGCAGAAAATGTTATTTTAATAAGTTAAAAAGGATACCTGAAACCTATTTATAATTTTTATTTGCCCCTAGGGTTCCTAGTAGAACATAGGGCACGTCTCCATTTCACTCTCTTCTCTGCAGTCTTCTCAACCTGGTTCCATGACTTCCCATAAGCTTCTGTTTCTTCCCTGCACGATCTCCCCCATGTCACCATCAGCTGAGACGCCCAACTCGTCGTTTCTCTTTTGGATTCCACTCGAGCGACTGGCCTGGTGCGTGATGTCCCCAATCAGTTTTCTCAGTTTATCCCCAATCCATCTTCACTTTATTCTGCAAATTTGTTGGGCGATGGGTTCTTGGTTGGTTTGTTGCTAGCTAGAGTTTTTTTGTTGCTTATTCTTAATATTCTGGCCATCTGATAAAAGTAATGTCACCATTCTATCCAAATATATTGAAATAATAATAAATATCATGGAGTTTATAAAGAAATAAAGTAAGTTATTGGAGATTATATGATAGAAAAGACTGAAGAAATATTCAGTAGACTAGATGTTTTCATTTATTAAGATATATATATCTTAACACTGTGGTTACTTATGTTATTGTGTTTGGTAACTGAAATTTTGATTCTGATATCATCGAAACATTCTGCAGATAAAGAGCTGAATTTCAAAAACAGTTGCTTAACTGGTTCAAAGTGTACAAGCTGTTGTGTTTATTTGCTGTACTCAAATGATTTGTAGACCCAAGTTTGAGTGATTCTTCTCATTGATCTCATTTGAAATAAATTAGATTAAACTAGATCTAATGCAGAAGTATTAATTTAACTCAGGAGGTTTTATCTCCTAGATTTCACATTATCTTACTAGTTAAATAAATGAACACATAAACCAATGCATTTTGAGGTTCCTGGAGATTTTATTTCTTGATGTTATTTATCATGGACAGAAATCATTTACAGAACCATTGAAAAAGTGGAAGCACTGGACATTTGTTTTTTCTTAGTTTGAGACTCCTCAACAATACGCAGAAGTAGGAAACTGTCAATTAACAAACTCTAACCCAGCGACTGAATAGCTTATGCATTTGCCACAAGACCTAGAGCTCCTGAGTTGGATCCCTAGAGGGGTCGTGGCTACACAGTGCTGAAGAATACCATATTAGGACAAAACGTTTATCCAATTCTCTCCGGTTTTCCATGGTTCGTTAAGTCATATCAAACCGCGATGAATTCCACATTGAGATAAGAATAATATACGGAGAATTACTTTTAAGCAGTCCACAATATTATTGAAAAATCTAAATATTAATTCTACTTCTTCAGTGGCATTTTTCTTATCATTATGCAGTTTTTAATGAACTATTATAATTTGGATAACATTTTCTTTCGAATTTCACAAACATTTCTTGAAGATAGATAGACAGACAAGCTGGATTGGAGAACGGACACAAAAAGCCATACTAACATGTGTATATACATGCATATGCATATACAGATATGCATACGGCCACACAATTTCTCAAATGTGATTAGTCCTGAACAATATGCATTGATAACCGATTCTGGTAAACTGCTTTGGAATTTTTTAACCTACAGAGCGTTAGATGTATGGGTAGTAATCAGAAAAGGCTGTTTTCATTAGCTTACACAATTAATGACTACTGCTTTGTGCATGATAATAGTGAAAACGTATAGCGGGTACACTTTCGCTTGTTGTTAAGAAGACTATTTTCTCAAATGAGTACACAAAACACACCGAAAGCTCAACTATAAACTCTTTATTTGAAATAAACAAAATTATACGAAATTGAATGTGCACACATTTATTTTGTCTAATTTGCCTCCCATGAAACACAACCGTACATGTTTAATATCCTTTAAAAACAACAGAAAAACAGAGACATTTTTTCTTCAATCGTCTTCTTTTAACTTTTCATAGAAGGGAAAATAAAACGAAGTAGTTTAACACGGTATAATGTACGGTGCAACAACTGGTTCCAAGAAGGGAAAAGTAAGTCCTAGTCAACTGAAGTATTCGGTAGTGTTTTTGTATTATGCTCAATTACCTTGCTAAGCATTATTTTTCTAAATATAAACCAGCTACAACTCACTGCTGAAGATGACACCTAGATTGACGTCAAAACCTGTAACTATGAGACCCAATGACTCGTGACTGACGAAATACTAACACAGACTGATAATACTCAGTTGCACATATTGTTGTGATTACTTTTTGGATCATGGATGGATTTCCTTGACCTTTGATGCAGATTTTGTATAACTGAGATACGTGTTGTAAAATCATTTTCGGTGCATATTATGTTCTTATATAAAGCGGTTCATTACACGGAAATGTTGAATTCGAAGGTCACCGATATCTATTTAAAAGTTGATGCATTTAACTTATCCCAAAAAACTTTAATTCTGTTTGAAAACTGCTAACTATACTTTATGATATAAAGCAGACATGAGATAAGCATTAAGTTAGACATACTCAACTTTATATTCACTGACCAACCGAGACAAGAATCGGATTGTATTACCTTCATCATTTCATTAAAGAAAATTGCATAAATATTATTCGATTTCTTCCATTTTGCATTTAATATGATTATCTCACTAACGACATGTATTCCTGATTCAGAATTGACGATATTTTACAAACTTAGAATTTTAGTTGAAAATAACAGATGATTTATGTATACTACTGTTTACTCTTTGAAAAAAAAGCAGACACAGAAATACAATATAGAAAACACACTATTTCATTATTAAGCTGCTATAATGCCATAATTAGACGAATGTATATTCTAACTGTTGATTTTCTTACGAATATCACTCTACAACTCTGTACACTTTTGTACAGTAGGCAGTGAGCTATATCTATTTTGTGTGGCTGTCTAAATTTAGATAGGTGCAGAGGTGTTTAAACTCATGACCCACTAATATCTACATTGTTAGTGACATCAGAAAGAAGTTTATCCAGCGGAGTAAAATATGCTTTTATAATGTAAAATAAATGAAACAGTATTGAGACTGATAATCTGACTAGTTAGGATAAAATATAGTTTCAGCAGCATGGAAAATAATCGCTTCACTTTAATGAGAGACTTGTTTCAATAACGATACCATCGTTCACTGCACTACTGACATAACGGTACAGTGAATGGTTTGATAAGAAACATTTCAGTTACATGCATTATTCGTGTTGTTGGATTTTATCAATTGAAACTGCTCATATTCATTCGTAGGTGAATTTTATACCATACAAATCTACAATACTTGATTAGAAATAGTTTTTCAGCGGTCACAAATGTATTTTAGAGTCTAATTAGTTCCCTGCATTGTGCTATTTGTCAAGAATCAGTGAAAATTTGACGTTTGTGTCTGAGAAGACCTCTGAAATCATATTATATTGCTGGTTGTTTCATAGAAGTTACACACCGGATAACTTTTGAAGGTTGTATGATAAATAGAATATCAGAGTTCACTTTAAAATATCAAAAACGTACTTGAGAGCATCTCAGTCCATTTGGTGGGCAAAGACATCAAAGATTTTCAGTCTGACTGCAGTGAGAGAATGAAAAGCTGAGATTGCGATGCAGTATATATCCTTGACAAAAAAGATTTCCTATGGAACCAAGGCTAAGTAAATGAACTCCACAGAGTTTCTTCTGACTCGCAGAAATGCATCAGGGCTGAACCGCTTGAAAATCATTGTGATGTAACTCTATTTTTTTAATGTCAGGTCACAATTTTGACTCCAGCAGTCTTGAAAGTGATGGAGACAGAAAGAAAATGTATGCTGGAATACTAAAACATTCAGCTCAGAAGAAGCAAGATAACCAACAACACGAAATTTGTTCAGAAAGCTTCTAAAAGTTATGCGGGTTATCTCGTGATAGAGTCTATTCGCGCAACCCAGTTTTTCATCCCAACTTCAGTCATCACTCCGCATCAATAATATCAGTCTGCCAAACAACCAAACAGTTACCTCATAAAGTTTCACTGGGAATAAAAATTATGTAGATATAAAATATAGTATGACCTAGTTTCAACCCATCCTCTCCACAAACTGATATAATTAGTACACATGTGCCAAGAACAATAATTATATGTGTATAAGAAAAACTCCATTTGTAGTTCACATACATCACATGAACGTATTACATACTTCGTATGGTCGTTAGCATTATCAAACAACTGACAATACAGAATTATATATGCAAAAGAATTTTATTCAAGTTATTATGTATCAGGTTTTATCACTGTAAATTTAGTTCCCCGATTACTTTGATAAGGCTATTAACACTAAATAGGAGAATGCAATAAAAAAAACTGTTTTTATTCATTCAGAGGAAAACATTCATATGAAAATAATAGTTTGATATTGGTGATTTCTCACCTAAGAGAAAGAGGTTTTAATTCCAGTGTTGAAAGTTAATTGAAAGGAAGCCACTGAACTAAGCTCAGTGTCTGTTAGCATTCATTGGCAAGACATACCTGTAATAATTGGGGATCTTATGTCATCTCGGTGATTTGCGTTGGTAGCAGTCAAAGATCTTGTTACTATGCTATTCTAACCATATGTGACTCCCAATATCTAACATGAGAGTATAATGCACTGTAAAGTCATGTTGAACAGCGTAATGGTCAGACTTCAATGAATGAATAGCCAAATTGGTTACTCACTGGTAAACAATGTGAATCCACTTTAGTCTACATGAAATATTTCCGAAATTGTCCGTAAGCAGTTGAGGTAAATTCATATGGACTGCAGCGCTACAAAGTGAGATTGATTGATAAACAACTAGTAGCTCATGCAAACCAACTTTCAGTAATCTCATAATTCTAATGTTTTAAAAGTTTTTAAGTTTGTATCCGACATGAAAGAAGAAAATAACCACTGGGATCTGTGATGTCAGTCGCATCAGTTCATCAGACGCATTTAAAAGCATCAACATAGGTATCCTCCAATCACAAACTTTAGAAGTATTTCCTATTCGTTTGTTGTTATGGAGTGCAACAATACCCTCTAGATTCCTCAAAGAAGTCTGGATATCCCTGAACAGCCTTCACAGATAATCATAGCATGTCGAACGTTTGACAAAACCACGTGAATATATGTGTGAGACTCAAATGGATTAAACGGCTTCCTAGAAAAGTACAAACCTTTCCAAGGTCATCAACAAGTGTTTATGAACCATTAATTTTTGTACATGTTCCGCTGGACAAAAAACCATCGTATTCGCCGTATCGTTTCTTTTTTCGAGGAACTAAGCCATCGTCAAGGGCAAAGTTTAAGGTTATTGCACAAGAGTCAACTCCCATACAGCCATATATATATATATATATATATATATATATATATATATATATACAAGACTGAAGGATACATTTGCCTTGTGATTCCGGAAATATTATGTGTTTAGCAGTGGTTAGGGGAACTGAATCTTTCATCTTTCTAGCTGAATTCAGCATCCTTTCGTTAGATAAATAGAAGTAATTGGCAGGACACCCTACTCGACCTAAGTCTCTTTTTTGTTGACACTCGTCAGCGAGGCATACCTTTAACTTCGAGAGAACTGATATCCCCTGTGAGTTCCGGACCTATGTTATCCAGTGGTGGTAGTGAGCAGTGTTACCACTGAGCTATTTAGGCCGATTGATCAGTCGGTCGCATTTAGTCAGTTCTCACTACTTGCTCTTCAGTGACCAGTCAATGCATTACATTTTACTGTGCCATGGATCTATAACAGACATTATTATTATTATTGCTGTTATTACTAAAAGTTAGGGGCGAAGTTAACATTTCAGCCTTTTCAGATATTTTAACGTGGTAACAGTAGTGGTTTCATTTATCAGTGAACAATGAAAATGAAAAGTCAGAAAATGAATGTTTGAAAACAAACATACTGAATCTATTTCAGTATATTTAGTGTCTACTTTTTGTCTTCTAATCATTGTATTGTGCAATGAAGTCGATCATTTCCGCAGAAAACAATTAATGTAATAAGCGATATGTTTGTTCTATCTTAAAATGATTTGAGTGTTGCAATCCGCCTGAAATATCTTTGTCAATATAGAAAATACTTTGATTTGTCAAAATTGGCATATGAAGTATCTGCCAAAGGAGAGAAGTATTAACCGGTGGCAAGATTATTAACGAACTGTTATTTTATAGGCCAAGTTAAACCACGATTATTGTACAGACGCTTCAATTTAACCTGAGTTCGTGCATATGATAAAGGTTAGATAATCTATGTGTGTCGTTAGGATACCGACAATACTTACAGAAAGGATTATGGGTTATATATAAGCTACTACAAACCATACTGCGAGAAGAATATACTTCACATAAGAGTCACTGATCAGTGAATACCAGGTTTAGATAAACAGATAATTTAATGATGTGATAATCAGTTGCTTAATAGGGTCTGGTGTAAGGTTAGATGAGATTATAGTCCGCTTTATTTATCAACTAAATAGTTTGTCGCAGCTTTAACTAACTAACTAACTCAGTTCTTCGGTGAAACAATCAATCTGGTATCTAAAAACAGTTAGTCTACTGAGTAGAACTCCTCTCTTCTTTACCCTATTGCTTGTCAAATTTGTTTGTCAAATTCTAACTCATCAGTATTTTCGTGTTTTTTTAGTATCTGCCGTATTCAATTAATAAAAGGTTTATGATTTTAAAGGAATCTTCTTTAAGATAACCAAACCTGGTGTTATTGACATTTTTGTATTTCTTTCCTCCTTTTTGTTAGTAAACAGAATCATTTTTTTAGTCAAAAATAAACAATGTCAAGGCTTTGCAAAGAAATCATAATAATGGTAAATAACATAGGGTATAGGAAATAAATACCAAGCATTTAACGGCTAATAACACTTCCTGACATCGTTAATTATAGTAAAACTGTGCATAACCAGTTATGTGAAATGAGTATGTTTTGTGTTCACACTTCTTAACATTGTGTAAATGACCACACCCACCGTATTTTCACACTCGAC